TATGATGTACATCACGGTTCACAACACTGACGGAGAAAAAGGGGCCCTAAGAGGGCATGGCCGTCGAAACTTTTAAGAAATAAAATTTTTTATCTATAAAATTATATTTTTATTATTTCAATTTTTGTTTATTTTTTATATATTAATCATTTTTTAACCCTTATTTTTTCAAACATTAGCTTTAGTAATTATGAAAGAAATGAGGAAAATAAAGATAAAATAAAATATGATATAAAATGAAGATTAAATGAATATAAAATTGTTTATATCATCTTTTTATAAAATAGTTAGTTATTGATACTCATTTTTTTATTAATACTCTTTTACCCCTTTTTTTTTTTGTTTATTAGTGTTCTTTTATTCAATATATGTTTATTTTATCCTTTAGTTGAGGTCATATATGTAATATTATGCCTTAAATTAATTTTAATTTATCGTTAAAAAATTAATAAATCTTAGTTTAAAATAATTTTTTATTAAAATTTATCTTTCTATTAAATTTTTAATTAATGAAAAGACCCAAGAAATGTACATATAATATATTTGCGATTTAAGGTGAGTGCACGTAAAGAGTTGAAATTTAAGATGTGTAAAAAACAATTTAAGGTTTGTATTAAGTGTATATAACAATTTAAAGTTATATGAAATTATCCTAAATACCTTTATTTTTCTTCTCTTTTCATTCTTTTAAGTTAGAAGTTTTTAAAAAAATTTCAAGTGATTATTTGCATCAAATGCAAATCTCTAGTGTTTATATGTATATTTTGATATTTTAAGTCTTTATCTGCCTATATATGAACCACAAGTTTGTGATATACACATTTTAAAACTCTAAATTTTTATGTACACTTACCTCAAATGGTAAGTAACTTAAATCACAAAATTTCCAAATTTAATTTCACCTCCTTAAAATAATTTCTGGCTTCGCCACTGGTTTATAAAGTCCAAAAATGAAAAAAAATTAAAATTAAAATTCCATTTCATAATGCATGCAGGGTGCACAAGTCCACTATTACTCAAATGGAAATAATGTTCATGAAAATCATATATCAAAGTTAATTAATTGCAATGTTCCCATGCGAGGACGGGCATTGTCTGATGTCTATGGAGTCAAGGAACCAACCCCTTTAAATTCTTTTATCGTCCTTTTCTAGTAGCACCGGTTTGATCAGAAGCTAAACAACTATATGTTGAAACATTTATAAAGAATTACCTCAAAATTCTTCCAAAGAAATTGAATTTTAGACTTGGTTTGAGACAGTGGGCTATAATTGTTGCCAGAGGTTTTTCTTTTTTTTTTGTCTTTTATGTCTTATAAATATTTAAAATATATTTAATTAACAAAAAATAAAAAATAAGAAAACCAAAAGTTAAAATACTGTAAAATATTCTCAAATAAAGCATTAAACTCTATTCAATATAATTATAGTTCTTTATTTTTCTTTTTCTTTTTTATAAATTTTACATCTCTAAACAAAAATTTTGTTTACTTTCATATATTTTTACAACATATTATCATAATTATTAGAGATATAATAACAAAAATAATTTTAATATTATTAAACAAGTTTATATTTTTTGTTATCAATATTAAAACTTGCCCTAGAAAAATTATCAGTTTTTTATTTTTAATTTTAATATTCAATAATTACAAAATTTATGAAATCGAAAACAAAAAAAAAAAATCACAATTATACTTAAACGAATCCTTAATCAACAAATTTGATTAGGAATAAACCACTTCCTATTCAACCCATTACTCTTTTTTTTTTTTTTTTTTATGGTACAACACTACAACCCATTACTCCTTGAGCGATATTTAACACAATAATTAAATAAAGGTGCGATCTGCATGGACACCAAATATGGGCATGGATATTTATATAGTAATGCTAAAATTGTGAATTATAAAATTTTGGGACTCAATTAGATCATTTAAATAAGGGTAGGGATTCTATTACAGCAATGGAAAGTAGAAAAAATTGTATTTGGGACATCAACTCGGGAGGAGTTCGCAGGAGCAGTGTAGAGGAAGCGAGAGTGCGAGAGGATGGGGAGAGAGGTATCAGAGAGCTGCGTCGATAGCCTTCTAATTGAAATGGTCTCCACCTACTGCAACCGCTTCTACGCCAACAAATCGGAGCTCGCCGCCCGTCGGATCGAGGCCATTGGTTATCAGGTCGGCCACCAGCTCTCCGAACGGTAAACCTCCATAACATATATTGAAAACCCTATCTTGAATTCTCCGTGTTTTTCTTTTCTCGTATTGATATTGGATTATAATGGATCTGAAGAACTTGTCTATTTTCACTCTCAAAATTTCAGTCTAATCTGTTGTTTGGTTGCTGAGAAATTCTAAGAAATAGACTGTTTTGGTGTTTTGGATCGGATCGGATGATGTACTACCATACCAATACCCTCCAGTTGAAAAGATTGACATCTATATTAAAAACCCCTAATTTGTGAGTCTATATCCAACAAAAGTATGCCTTTGTGTCTACATTTGGGGATTCAACGTATTATTTAAGGATCGTAGCTAATTGGATACTATTAAAGTGGTTGGAACATATGTAATTTATGGATTGGGGAAATCCAGAATGAGCAATCTTTTATTCATCTTTTAAGAGTGTATGTTGTTGAATTGTTTATGTGACTTGTGTGTGAAATGTGTGCATATTCTGTACTAACACATCTCACAAGGAGTTGCACTATCGTACAGAAGTTAAATGGTTTTCATGGATATGGTTTGTGTCATTTTGTATGTATAAATGGGATTGTCGTTCTCATCATTTAGGTAACAACCACATTGTTCCTGATTTCTTTGATAATAACATCATCATGGGCAAAACAAGGAAAAAAAGAATCGTCTCTTCTTCTTTTCATTTTTTCTTCTTTTGCAATATGGTGTTGTTTTCACTATTTTATCACTATTATAAATTTCTATTTAATTCAAGAAAATGTACCAATATGGTATGATTGTGATAGTGAACAAAAGCTGAAATTTTCGTCTTTTGGGTATTTGATAAATAGCCTATATGCACAAGCTTCTTAGCTTACAAAATGAGGATTAAAACTCATGTCAAGAACTGATGATTAACGATGTTAAGGTAGCTTGGGTTAGAACATTAGTCAAGGGAGTGACCCTGGTTTAGTTATTTTCAGTGGGAGTGATTAACCATCAGATGTAGATAGAATTCAGTGACCCTGGTTCAGCATTTTCAAATTTTTAGTAAAGGATAGGCATAGGTAAAATCTGATATCAATGTTGGATCTAGAATAGCTGAAGTGGAAGCTTTTAAACATTTTTCTATCATTTAAATTGCTTTATGCAAAAAGCAATATTGTATCACAATGCCCTATTGGTGCTTGATTGATATAACTTTTTGCATAATTAACATTACAAGATCTTCTGTATTTTATTCTTATGTTTAAGATGCTGCATGGGATATCATTCAACAAACTTTTCAGTTATTTTTAGGTACACAATGGAGAGGCCACGCTTTGGTGATCATCTAGAAGCAATCAAGTTCATTTGCAAAGATTTTTGGTCAGAACTCTTCAAGAAGCAGATAGACAACTTGAAGACAAATCATAGAGTGAGTTTGGGCTAGAACTGAATAAAAACTTATTATGATGAGGATTTTTACAAATTATCTCAAGTTTGTTTGTAGGGAACCTTTGTTTTACAAGATAATCGTTTCCGTTGGCTTGCACGCTTGTCAATTGATCAAACATCTGAAAATGAAGGAGCATCTCAAGATCCGTCTGAGAACAAGGCCATGCAAGCAATGAGCATGTATCTCTATTTTCCATGTGGAATTATCAGGGGAGCTCTTTCAAACTTAGGAATACCTTGTGCTGTTTCTGCAGACATGTCCAACCTTCCTGCATGTGAGTATTGTTTTATGAGTTTGCTATTCTTTTCTAGAATTTGCTTTATACCTTACCCTCTTTTGTTCTCTTTCCTCTACCTTCTAAGCCTAGAAGTTGTAGCTGATGAGGAAAGGCTTAAGAATATGTTTATCTATCTTACATTCCCATCCCATCCTTGCAAGCTAGTTGGGTTTGTAAGCTTGGACAAAGCAAAAGCTCACTGTGCCACATACCTTGTTTTGATTTTTTTTTATTATTATTATTTCTTCTAAAAGAATAGAGGAATTGGACTTTTGAGGTTTTTCTCCATTTGATTTCCCATGATTTGTTTTTACCTTTTATATTATTAATTGAGTTAGGATTCACTTACATACAATTCTTACATACATCACTTATGGAAAATCTTGACCAGTTATCTCTCCACTGTGAATGGTTGAGATTTATTCATTTTTTATCATATTTTTAAAGATAATTGTCTTTTTCATCCAAAGAGTCATAATAAATCTCAACCATTCATAATGAAGAAATGAATGGTCAAGATTTTGTGCAAGTGATATATGTAAGAATTGTATATAAGTGATATGTGTAAGAATTGTGTGTAAGTGGATCCTAACTATTATTAATTAGTACCATTTCATGTCTTGGTTATGTTGCATTTATGAAATGGTTTGAGCCTTCTAATATTTTTCCTATTCTTTTTTTTTTGTTGTTCATTCATTTATTCATCCATATTCTGCATTGTCTCCTGGCACATTACTTCAAACTCTGTCCTCTAAATGTGCCCTGCTAAATATATTTCCACCTTTATCATGTTATGGTTGTAACTTTGAGTCAACTCCTCTGTGTGCCTTTTCCTTTTAGTATGGAATTTCTATACTCACTCAAATGTCCGCCCTTTACAACTCAATTTGCCTCTATCCTAATTGGAAAGCTGCCTTCATAGCTATTCTCTCCACTGTCTTATGTTATTTACAAGTCAATCCAATAGCAATACCCGTTGTTTGTTGCATTTTGGTGAAAAGAAAACAGTAATTTTAGATGTTAGCTAGTTGGCAAAGTGAGATCAGGATGATACAAATATGAAATACAGCAATTAACACCATGAAAGAAGTTAAGGCTGGTGATATTGAACCTGCTGATTTGATTTTGTTTTTGGAACAAATACTCTTCAACCTTTCAAGAATACACTTCTTAGTTTCTATGGATTATTGAGGTGAACAAAAAAAAAAAAAGAAAGAAAAGAGTTTCACAGCATGCCTTACATTTAGAGAAATCAAAGCCTTGAGTTTTAGATAATTGATTGGGTTGCTTGCCACTGCAATATTATTGTTTGCTTGTTCTAGCCCTTCTTACTCTCTTTAAATGCCAGAACTAACCTCTAAAAAACATGATTCCTCAATATCTTGAGTAGTTCCTCTTTATTAAATCTTGTATTTGATGAACAATTTAATCTTTCAAGTTCTTCTTTATAACCTCATTCATTCGTTTGACGTAGCAGTTTAGAAATTTTATTTTCTTTGATTAGTTATTCTAATTCAAATAATTTATTCTGTCTGCCATTGGATAGGTTCATTTGTGGTGCGTATAAAGGCTTGATGAGGGGCATGCAGGCCAGAATTTCTAATATTGGGCATCCAAATACTTGTTGCTGTTACTTGCTAGCATAAGAGGATTATTTCTCACCTTATTTTGCACAAAGACTTCTCTGAACTTGTAGCACCAGAATTCTTGAAGAAATATATTGTACCGAGTAAACCTGATTTAATCTCGGTAGATTTGTTGGTAAGATTTCCGTTTGTATTGAAGTGTTTTACTTAAGGCCAAGAAAAAGTATTTACTCGCATAATATCTATTCTAACATTAGAGTAATTGTCCTCATTACTGTGATCTCACTCAGCCAGGTCCGCAAAATATATACGTAACTAGATTTTTTATTTTTTTTTTCGGATGGAATAAGTAATGAGATTCATTAAGAACAATTCTTGATTTTGTGAGCACAGATGAGTTTGTTCCCCCACGGTAACGTTAGGAGTTTAAACCTCTGCGTAATAGAGAGAGACTAGTTTGTTGCACTTTAAAATGAGTCAGAACCAAATCTAATCAGACTTGGGATTCATAAATCTGATTCTTGAAGAACAAGTATCTTGCATTCCATTAACGTTAGAAGCGATCAACAAGAGCATGACTAAATTGATATTTGTTAAATTAAAATCTTAATTTGGGGTCAAAACTAAGAATTCAAACTTGTGTTACCAAGAGTTAATTCTCGATGTACGAGAAAAATAAAAAAAGAAAAAGAAAATGGAAAAAATCAATGTTAGAAGCTAAAATAGTCACTAAACTAACCTAGCTAAATGCAATTTTCAAAAATGTTCTACACCAGGGCAAAGATTATTGTCAAAGAGATCAAATTTAATGCATTTCCATTCTCAATGTCAAGCGTGTAATCAAAGATGAAAACTTCAGTTTCTACTCTTAGATTCAAATAACATATAGAGAGACGACAATTAGAGCAATCAGAAACCGCATAACAAATAATTAATTTTGCATAAGAAAACAAGAATCATATTAGGGGATATTTCATTCCAAACTACAAGCAACTAACCTTTCTTCTGTTCTCAACAAATAGTACTGTACCTAACATTGCTTCAAGCTTTTCATAACCAAATCCAAGACAATACAATAATGAAGTTTTACCAGTAATCGCCACAGGAGCATTTTCCATCCTTGAAATGATGGAATCGTTTGTTGTCCCGAACAATCAATTCCCTTCCAACAATCTTGGACATGATCTTAATTGCATTGTGACAGTCACCACAGACTCGGAGATTCTTGATAATCCTAAGGGGTGTCCTTGCTGGGGTACTAATCAGACCATATGCAATTGCCAACCTCTCACTGTGATATAACAAAGCTTGCTCTTTTGCCTCTTGATCAATGTCATGAAGCACATAGCGTGTGTCTGGCACATAACCTGCTTCTTTCATCTGACTCAAGGCCTTCAATTTTTCATCATCCTTGTAAAGAGTTGGATTTCGAAATTCAATGATTCTGTTCTTTCCATCAAGCATGCTGATAGCAGAGCGCTTCTTTGGTGGTGGGGCAGGGATCTTATTTAAGATGGCCTTTGATGGGTCAAGATCAACCATCAACTCCTCTGCATGGTCTTCAAGGTCAATATCTCCATGAATACGAGCATAGGTCCTCAATGCCTCCCAAACATCAGCTGTAGGCTCAAAAGGCAGTTTGTCAATGTACTCTTTAGCTTCAACAAGACGCCCAGATTTTCCAAGGACTCCAAGAACACCCATGTAATGTTCAAACCCAGGAGATATCTTATACTCATTCTCCATTGACTCAAAATGTATGAATCCTTCTTCCACAGCTTCAGCACTAGCACAAGCATTGAGAACAGCAAGAAACGTCTGCTCATTGGGCTTTAAACCCAATTTCCTCATCTGCTCAAACAACTGCAAACCATCATCTCCCAATCCATTATCTGCATACCCATTAATAATCAAATGCCAGGATTCCATATTCCTTTCTGGCATATGATCAAACACCCTACGTGCGTCAGTCAAGCTTGCACACTTTGAATACATATCAATGACCTTATTATTCAAGGAAAGATCACCTCTACAAGATGACTGTAAAAAGTAATCATGCGCCTTTTTGGCATCCTCAAGTAACTTAGAAGCCCCACACAATTCGAACAAAGCATTGAAACAATCAGGATCAGCTTTGACACCCTTATCCATCAATTCTATAGCCTCTTTAACCTTACCTTCTTGACACGCTTGCTTCAAAACAACAAGTGAAGAAACTGGCTCAGGCACATGAGCTACTGGGGCCTGATTCTCCACTGCATGTCCTTGATTTGGGCTACCTCTGTCCAAGTGAGTAGGGTCTTGACCCTGTGGAGTCCACTGGTTAGGGTGCCTAGCTTGTGGATACCCCTGATTTTGGTTATTCCACTGATTTCGGCTACTGGACAACTGTGAATTCATCTGACTAGGGTTTTGGAACTGAGGATAACCCTGATTCTGAGGAGGATTCCATTGATTAGGGCTTCTGGGTAACTGCGTATTCATCTGATTAGGGTTTTGGGACTGGGGATAACCCTGATTCTGATGGAGATTCCACTGATTAGGGTTTCTGGGTAACTGCGTATTTATCTGATTAGGGTTTTGAGACTGAGGATAGCTCTGATTCTGTGTGGAATTCCATTGAGTAGGGCTTCTAGGAAACTGTGCATTCGAGTTTTGGTACTGCCGATAGCCCTGATTATGATTCTCATTCTGTGGGAGATTCCACTGATTAGAGTCTTGCGATGGATTTGGATATACCGTGTTCTGATTGTCAGGAGTAGACTGGCTGGCGTTGGCATTGGCATTGTTGAATCCCTGATTCTGCCTGACCCATTGGTTAGGGTTAGGATAAGGGTTGCTTTGTTCTTGAAAACCACTAGGTGATTGATTCTGGTGCTGCAGAGGAGATGGAGGTGGTGTCTGGTACTCATTTGGGATCGCAGATGTGCTCAGGGCTCTGGCAAGGAGGGTTCTGGAGAACAGATTAGAGGAGTGAGAGAGGCGTACCTTGAGGAAGATAGAAGAGAATGCTGGTGTTGGGTACCGAGCACGGCGTACCGCTAGAGACGCCATTTTTCTCAATGAGGAAAAATGAGAGAGGCTTCTGTGCGTTAAACCCTAGCTATAGAGAGTTAGGCCGAAGACTGAAACCATCGAGGGGTTCTTTTCGATCACCCTCCCACAAAAAAAAAAAAAAAAAAAAAAAAAAAAAA